CAGAAACAGTCACATCGCACTAAACACTTTAATATATGTAAATGCAAACAAGATGCTTTTTGTAATAAAATCCCTGTAATCACAGATTATATTGTACGGTCGCCAGCTGAAGTGGGAATGTGCATGGAGTTTCTAATCTGTAATTTATTGTAGCACCACCGGTCTCGGCGGCGGACTTCCTGGCTCGGTTCCGGCCGCGTGTTATGAGTACTGCCCGTTTCTATTGTCCACTTATAAAGCAAAACCTATTTATATTATTGAAATGATTGCTACCTTTTGAGAACATCTAATTGCTTTGTGGCACAACGCATAATGAATAGTTCACTATTTGGTCATACCTTTTTTTATATGTTTTTATGATATTTGATCAGCTAGAATTTACAACTTATATTCGTTTTTATTCACCTAGAACAAAGCATAGTTTACCTAACCTTTCGTTTTTCTACTATAAGACATTTCTGCAACTCAAACACATATATATTGCACATTCTGCACTCCTTGTTCCAATGACCTCCTCCGACCAAATTTTCATTATAAAATTAATATTCAATTTTGAAGTCTTTATTTCATTCTTTCATGAACAAAATTTACTAAAATAACAAAGCAAAATAATAAACAACATGGAGTTTCAGTTTCAGTTCAGTAATGAAATATGAGAATATCACGCAGTTCTAATGATAGAGCTAAAATTACTACTTCCGTCAGTGTAATTACAAATTAATGACACTTGATATCCCGTTAATGTTGGACTATTAATAAATATTCTGTGTGAAAAGAAACAAGGTTGTTCATTAAAGATTATCGTTATTAAGCGACGTCCAATAGAATCGATACGTTTTAATTACATATCAACCAAATCGATTATTATATAAGATATAGTTATATAAGGTTCACTATTTTGTCACTACTGTCAGTTACTTCACTGTTTTGGGAAAACTATTTTAAAACTTTCATATGTTGAATGTTTAAAGCCACTGTTAGAATATTTTTTCTCCAAAAACTGTAACTAAATTGTTGCCGGCCTTTTTACCAATGTTTGTTTTTTTTTTTATATATTTTTAAATGACTGTCTTTATATATATTTTTTGATGTTAAAAAAAAATATAATTGTCATCGATTTGTTCTGCCGTACTTGTGGTCTACGAGGGTCAAACTGAAAGTTCTTAGAACTGGCCACTTATAAACAATATAATAAAAAAATAATTCTAAAATTTGAAAATATAACTCTTTGCCAATATTACTGAGTATATATTTCATTCATTTGTCATTTGTTTTACGATTTGGCGGCAAATTGAAAATTGTCTGTGTCACGTCATCATGAATTTAACACGAGAAAATTTTCGTGCAATGATTTTTTATGACTTTCGATGTCATTTAAGTCAACAAGAAAGTTATGATAGACTACGATTGGCCTTTCACGATGAAGCCCCATCTCGTGCGACTGTTTACAACTGGTTTAATGAGTTTAAACGTGGTCGCACTAATCTCACTGATGATTTACGTGAGGGACGGCCTTCTACGGCGACGACTGAAGATAACATCTGTGTTGTGCGGCGTATGATAGAGACTGACAAAAGAGTGACCTATCAACAGATTCGGACAAGCTTAGGCATCGGTATGAGTCAAGTGCACAAAATCCTCCACGAACATTTAGCGGTCAGGAAGCTTTGCGCCCGGTGGATACCTCATAATTCGACTGAGGCTCAAAAACTCCATCGTGTGGATTGGTGTCGTAAAATGATTGAAAGATTTAACGGAGGTGACTCAAATGCTGTGTTCGACATACTAACAGGTGACGAAAGCTGGATTTACTGTTATGATCCTAAAACCAAAAGACAATCTGCTCAGTGGGTGTTTCCTTTCGAGGAGTTGCCAACTAAAGTGAAGAGAGATCGAAGTGCGGGAAAAAAAATGGTGGCCTCGTTCTTTGGAAGGATAGGTCATTTTGCAACAATTGTGTTAGAGGATCAAAAAACAGTTTCTGCAGAATGGTACACTACCAATTGTTTGCCACTTGTCTTGGAAAAAGTTCGAGAGAAACGACCTCGCAGTAGGATCCTCCTTCACCACGACAACGCCTCGTCGCACACCGCCAAGCGAACGATCGACTATTTGGCGACATCAAACGTTGAATTACTGGGTCACCCGCCGTATAGCCCCGACCTCGCGCCTTGTGATTTTTATTTATTTCCAAAAATTAAAGAAAAACTTAAAGGAAAGCGGTTTATGAATGCTGAAGAAGCGGTGGCTGCGTATCGCGATGCCATTGAAGAGACCCCTAAGGACGAGTGGGCAAAGTGCTTTTCCCAGTGGTTCCATCGCATGCAGCGGTGTATTGACGTGAATGGACAATATTTTGAAAAGATATAATAAAACTAATAACTGGCTAATGTAATCAGTTTTTGATTTTCTAAGAACTTTCAGTTTGACCCTCGTATATTGTATATTTCATTTAATAAACCCATTATAATCGTATTTTTTTATTATATAGTCCCGTTCCACTAGCTCAACATTTCATTAATAAAGGTAAAACATATATTTTATTTATTTATTTAAATTGCCCCGAAGAAAGGAAAAATATTTTTTTCTTCATTTATTTTATTTTCCCTGCGAAAACAATCAGGGACATTTCAAGTCGTGACGTCATATTTTATTTCAATAAACATGAGTACTGGTGCGCAACAAAGACGTTTAGTTTATTGAAATGTCACACGATACTCCATTAGCGTGCTCAGAAGTCAAAGTTTTCGTAAGGTATACTTTAAGAGTAAGAAATCCACTGTTCATTCTCATCGCTAACTTCGATGTAAGTCATAGAATGAATTGTGACGTCATAATTTGGCAACATTACAAAGTGGCCTTTTCCATTTTATGCAGTATGCGATTATGCAGCTATATTGGTGATTGACATACTCGATAGCGCAATGGTTAGCACGTTCGGTCAGTTAATCAGAATTTATCACTAATTGATTATTGATGATTAATTTATTATTAGAGAAAATATACTCATTCTAATCCTTTCATGGGACATTTGATTTTGAATTTAAATCAAATTATAATTTTGATTTAATACGTGCAATTTTATTTTACATAAACACAAAAATATAAGTCTTCGTTATCATCGTTTTTTTCTTGTATAATACAAAAAACTACAAAAAATAAACGATGCCGTTATGATTTATATTGCGTTAAAGCTTAATTAATAAAACAATGACACAAATAATTACACCATAATACTGAAAATTTTGGGCGATAACAATTTAAGAAAAAACATAATAAACACAAAGGTACGTAGTATTCTCATATTAGAGGTATATATTAAAGATTGTAAATTACGACGTGCGTGAAATTTCATTTTTAATTTACAAAGTAGTTATTGCTCCTTTCTTTATTTTGTAAATGTAAATTTAAGCATAAATGTAAATAAAGTAAACTAATAAATTTACTTTGTTGGGCGAAATGCAAAAAAAGAAGCAATGGAACGTTACAAGTATTCACTATCAGTGAGCTTTACGTTTAAAGCGTTGAGCATTCGTAGAGCTTTTACTGCATTCAAAAGTCTTTTATATATTTAACTTTTCCTTCTATAGTACTATTTTTAAAATGGATACCTAAATTACTTAATAAATTCTATTTGTGTGTACTAACTATTATCATGAGTGATGTTTAATAAAGTTTCCAGTTGATTGCCAATAATATTTAGATATATTATAAACCCAATTAGTTAAATTCAAAATTTTAATCAGATAACATAATTGAAGTGTAAATTTCATATGAACCTAATATTCTGAAACATAACTAACATGCGGTATTGTAACGTTATTATGTAATTTCATATTCTGATAATTACAGGAAGTTCGTTAATTATTGTCTTTGAACAATCAATAAATAATATAATCTATGATTAAATGGGGCTTTGCAGAACTTATTATTATGTAATAAATTGTTTATTATGTATTATAGGAGTGACTTGAAAAATAAATCTTAAAAATTTATCGATTATAACTGCAAAGGAGAATTAGAATAAATATATAATTGCTTGATAGTACTGTATTAACGAAAAGAAGATTTGAATTTCCTGCATTAGCGTAGAAATTTGATGTTAATCCTAATTTGCTAATACCATAAGAAAGTACAGAGACTTAATTGCCATAGATTGTACATGGTGTGGAGTGTAATGTTTTTCGATATCTGCAAATAAAAATTGCTGGATCACTCTCGAGCACTCAACACTGAAATCCGCTGCATTCGTTAATGCACTTGGGCATGTTAGTTTTATTTTTGTTTTGTTAAGGGATCTGGTATACATTTGTGCTATGTAGGTGATTCATCTGTCACGTTCATGATATTCAGACTCTTTGAATGCGATGGTTTTTTATTTATTTTGACCAAAAGGTGTTTCAGATCATCATTCATTGGAAAAGCTTTTATGTGAATTATATTCACATACCATACCGAATTCACGTATCATCTTAATTGATTTAGTTATTAAGAGAGAATACACAGACGACAAAGGAAGTCATGGCCATTAACCAAAATTTTAATTCTTCTAACATTAACGTAATAATTTTATTTCAGTTGTGTTTCTATTTTTGCGTAGCTCAATAAAAATTATGATTTTTTTTTTGATAAACTACGATAGTTTAGATTTTTCGATGGCTCATAAACTACCGTAGGTAGGTTTCTATTGGGGTATTTATAATATATTTTTTATAATATATATGAAAAAGAGAGATAAATATATATTTATATGTGCCTATAACTTATGATATACCTCATATCCTGATGATGACACATTTTAGTTAATATAACTATAATTTGTTTATTATTTAAAGATATATGACAAGGTTATTAACATTTAATTATATATTTTAATAAGTAATTAAAAAATGTATATTCGAGCTTATTTGTTGTAATAAGCTCGAATATAAATAATCCATAGGAAAAAATGGTGCACTAATAACAAACTTTTTCTTGTATCAACGCATGCATGTACTTACCATTTCTTTGTTATCAGTAGCTTTATCTAAAACTGAATCCAGCCATTCCCACTGGTGCGTCGCTTGGGCGCTATTAGATTCACGTGCACTAAACAAGTTAGTGTTAAGTGCAACTATTCTTAACTTACTATGTGACTGCTCTATCGTATAATAACCACCTGCGAACAATAAAGTAAATATAATGTAAAATGAAATTATTTCAATGTAAAGTTGCGATTACTGACAAGGAAACAGGCTGTATTTGTGAAAAATATATAGTACGAAACGCTTTGAACCTAAAGTTTTTGATTTTAAATACAACACGATGTCTCAGAAATGACAAATGCCACGCCTCTGATACAATTTTCCGCGTCTTTTAGAAACCCTGCTTCAGACATATACCCGATATAAATATTCAAAGCACGAAATACTTAGATTTTTTTGAGAGAAACACACAGTACTGCGAATTGTTTTAAAATTAAAATTCAAATAGAAAAATGAGACGCAAATAAAAAAGGAACATGTTTGAATGGTGCATTGGTCTGGCAACATTTGTTATTTATTGCATCGTGTCCGACATCACTGTTTGCATTATAATTATGCCTAATTGTGTTTTTGGTCCCCTATCATTATACGATGTGTTTTAGGGTCACCCGGCGGGCGGAGGGTTAACGACATAATTATGCAAAGTGCTTTTTCTTTTTATGTACGTAAAGCAACAAAGATTCGAGTCACCCTATTTCTTTATCCGATGAAATGCGCAACTTTTTTGTTAGCGCCCTTTTGACAGCGACGCCTTAAATTAATCAATTACGTGGTTGACGCAATTTTGGAATGAATTGAATTATTGTAACTTTATATATTCAAGTTATACAGAACATGAAGGTCATCTGAATATAGAGATCGAAATAAAAACAAAAAAAAACGATAGAAGAAGTAGTAAAAAGTTTTACGTTTTGTGTTAATAGCTGCTTAAAATTATTTTGTTTTCCTGTGGTAAGCTATTTGAACGTGTTGTTGTGTGTTGGTTTTTATATCGATAGAGCACTTTTCGCCAGGGTTGCTCAAAGGATGAGTGAAGCCCTTGTTAAGCCCTTGGTCTCAGCTGCATCTGCATTCATTAACGTCTACTGATGCGCCCTGGACCCATCTGGTAGATTATGGTCCTTTCTCTCGATTAGATTCCATTTAGGAGAAAGGCATGTCACCCAGATGTAATATATTAATAGGCTGATAATGACGATGTTATTGATACAACCCTATGATATCGCCCTTGCGGTTTTCGCTAATGTACCATACATTGGCGAAGTCGAAAGACAGCCCTAGTTCGACGTCACTCAAATTGAATAGCTTATGCTTTGGTGTGTGGCAATATTATATTGCGTCATATTGTTGTATTTTATCAATAAATCCACGACTTTTCTCATAACTAGTACACATATAAAATTTAAAAAAAAAACATAGTTACCATTCTGAAAAGTCTGCAAAGCTTCTAAAGGGAGCCAGTGCATCCATAAATTAGTGAGACTGGCGGACGGCGCAGGGTCCAAATGACCGAGTACTGGAAACACGAAGTGCGAACTAAATGTTCTACTTAATAGTTCTGTCATATTTCTGATCGCCTGGTAATTCTCGTCCTTGCTACCAGAGAAATGAGCGGCAGTGATGTCCCTAGAAAAAAAAAGCTTGTTACCTCTTCATGTATAATTATTCTCTCCAACTACTCACTAGATTATATAAACGTATTGAACATCTCGAGAAAAAGGTCTTTTGCTATTTCAATAACAAAATTAAAAAGTTACCAAACTCTTGAATTATATGTTAATGAAAACCGCATGAAAATCCGTTGCGTAGTTTAAAAGATCTCAGCGTACAGACAGCGGGAAGCTATTTTGTTTTATATTATGCATAGAAAACCAACAATACAATTGCTTTTATATTAGTTATATACAAAAATATTGTTTGTATTACTGAAATTGTGTAAACATTTCAAATTCCTGGAATCGATTCAAATATAATACAACAGACCAAATCACATTTACGGCATTTCCAATTCCAACTGTGATATTTATTAATATATCCTGAACACGCAAAACGACAAATTAATGCTAATTTTTGGTTTACCATGACAGGCAGAACATTAAATAATCGAAACTAAAAGTATAAATGCGTAAACGATGCCCGTCTATCTGTTTGTTGTTAGCTAGACTAAGTCATAGAAAATTGATATTAAATTTAATATAGACATAGGCCTTTTTATTGCGAATAAAACGCAATAAGATTTATTTATGAACACGTATACGTATAAATGCAGAAGATACAAAACAGACAGCAAAGAGCGATTAATTGACACAGGTTATGTTCAAATAAAAAAATAAAATAATAAGAAAAAGTTAGCTAAAGAAAAAAAACTGGCAAAGCTGTCGTCAACAGAAGGAATTATGTAATAAGGTGAACTTGGTATTATAAAAACCTAATTTTGTTTTGATACAAAATAATCCATAGAAAAAGTCATGGGCACCAGTTAGTTCTTTATATTTCTTTGAACAAACAAAGACCATTGACAGGCAGTATTTTATACCCCAACAAGTATTGTGACGATAGGTACAAGGTCAGTCAGTATTCACAATGTTACAACACCCTTTTGCAATTGGTATCTATATAAAATGATGCCCATTGTTATGTATATGCATTAAAACTAGAAAAAGATTGTTATTTTTGATAAAAATGGTTAAATATGCATTATGTCCCTGGTAGGTACTCTGAGATTTTTTAGGCATTTTTCATTAAAAATGACAACCCTTTTTAAATTTAAATGCATAAACATAACAATACATTTTCTAATATATCATTGTGAATCCAAAAAAATACCAAATATAATAAAGATTGTTATGATTTGCGAAAAGGATCTTAGAATTACTTAATAAGACATATTGGAAATTCGTCTCCTATAGATACTGGGAATGCTGCTGGGCTTTTTGAAGTGACTGAAATGGTAACTATTATACCATTCTTTAAGTAAGACAGGTACTCTACGTACGTTCAAACTGAATTCGGAACATGAACATTCCAATATTCTGTTGCACATTCAAATACTTTTCAGCTTCAAAAATGATTGTATCTTTGATTATGTATAGATTAATAAAACGAACTGCTATCTGAGATAAGGATAGTCCTAGTGTGTGTAATAGTTCCTATGTCCACAGTTATTAATTTATTGCACATGTATGAATGAATGAATACTTTTATTGTTTACCATAATTAAAGAAAAGGATAATCGATACAATTTAGTGGTATGTGTGGTAATTATGTTGTTGAACAGCTTTCTGGGAATAATTTATCGAGTTATTCATAGAGCTCACATTATCTTAAGCGTATTATATTACTTACTATTAAATACTACCTATCAGAAGGTACTAATAAAAGTTACAAATTGGTATATAATATGATTTTATATGGGCTGAAAAATATATATCTCTGTCACTATAAAACTATATGCGGATTGAACGACCGCATATAGTTTTATAGTGACAGACGCGTCGGAGTACACTCGCTTGTGCTCAACAAGCGAGTGTACTCCAACGCAAGCCAAAATGCCCATGTCAGCTAAATACGAACATATTCAACGTGATTTAAATATATCAAAGAGTCAAATACTTACCCAGTCCACAATACGAATTCCACGTTCTCCGAGTGACGTGTACGCATGTACCGCGCGGCTGATTCGATCAGCTCTAGAGAACTATCACACGAGTAGTCACCGTAGCGGCCTAGTGCCCTGTGATGGCCTGAACTGCCTCTTTCGTCAGCTCTGCGACAATCTGAAAGTAAACCATCGAGTTAAAGGTGGTACAACAAAACTTCAGTGGAGCTAGTCCGATTGTATCGTTAAAAGCCTCACGAGCTAAGCAAAGGGAATATTTCATATCAAAACACACGAATATATTAAAATTTAACGACGAATAACTTTCAGATAGTAGATTATAAATTATAATAAACATTAGACAACATCATATACATTGCAGAGATTCCAAAATGAGTAGCTAAACCCCCGTATTATGGAGTATGAGACAAAGTAGGTTTCACAACACCCAGGACCGAGACTATATAGGAAAGTCCATTCGGTTTCTAATTTCGAGTAAGTACCAGGGATGCCTTTTTGCAATACAAGTTCTAGTTCAGAAATGTAAAGATACGCAACAAGATATTTATATGTTAAGATTTATAATTGCTCTAACAACATGTTATAAATTAAAAAAAAAAACAGTTCTTGATATATTTGCATATATAAAATAAATTGGTATTAGTATTCAAGTTATTATCTAATCTTCTGTAACAATTAAAAGCAGTAAGTAAAATTTATTCATACCCATACCTAAAGCTACGCTATTGCTTTGTTAATTACTTCCAAAAATAAATGAATATTATATGATTATAGAATTAATGTTTTTATACATCGTCCAAAGTTCTCTCCCGCTGTGAATAATTATATCCTCAGAAACAATTTCCGTTTGAAAATCAATATTTTCGAGTCGTAAAATTACATGTAACAAAATTGTATCAAAAAATTCCGTTCTCTTTTCTAACTTTATAAATAAAAACAATCAGACTTCCATTCTATTTTCTAATTACAGTTTTTGTTATTTTCGAAGCAATAACACGTTACAATTGCAGAAGTATTTTTAATAGTTCATTAACAATTTATAAGGTATTTTCCTGCAAGGAAACAATTTTCTGTCTAATAGTAATTTATATATGAATGTTCTACCAATATATTATAAAAGTAAAATTTACAAGAACTAGTACCTACAATAAGCCTTATCATTGTATATTACTAAACATTTCATTATTTTATGAAATTACCTAACATCTCCATCTTAAGGTTGTCGACATAAACGCAATTAGCCCAGGTTTTTTGGACAGACAGTGATATTACAATGGTGCCCTTTTTTGCATCACATAGTAGTTTCAGAGAGAAACAGATAGAAAGATAAAAAGAGGTAGTAACAACTTTTTACTAATGTTTTGAAATGGTAAGAAATTAAATAATTATACTTTTTACCCAAGTCTGAACAATGTTAATAAAACGCTGTACTTATCAAAGGAAATTCTTTTGCTTTGAGTAACAAAATATTAAAATATTGAATGCGTAAATGAAATAGCAACCTTTGTTAATCGAAATAAGCATTCTTTACAGTGAAAAAAAGATAATAGAATTGTGAGTTCTGCTCACTAAACCAGTAACATAATTTACTCGATAACGTTACTGATATTGTTACGATATGTAGGTATATTAAAATAAGGAAGTATGTAGTTATTCTAGACTTATTATTCAGATCACCATAAAATTTGCATATAATTAAAGAATTGGGATTTATATAAGTAATGTATATATATATATATATATATATATATATCATCAGTAGCTTGGTGGCGTAGTGGATTAGCGCCGCGGCCCGTGATCGTAGTCGTTAAGCAACTTTCGCAAGGGTCGGTCACGGGATGGGTGACCAAAAAATTATTATCTCGAGCTACTCCGTGCTTCGGAAGGCACGTTAAGCCGTTGGTCCAGGCTGCATTTGCAGTCGTTAATACCCTCCAATCCGCATTGGGCCAGCGTGGAGGGTCATGGCCCATCCTCCTTAACCATCCATAAGGAAGGCCTGAGCCCCTGCAGTGGAGACGTAAAAGGGCTGATGATGATGATATATACGTAATATGATTTACGAAAAAATATACTCGTCAAACAAAAACCGTCCAAAGAGTCACATTAACTACTTTTGTTGTATGGAAGCCCACTTAAAAATTGAATTAATTCGGTTTTTAGTATTTGTAGTAAGAGAAATACTTAATTTGTGAAAGTTTCAACTATCTGTCACTGTTAAGACACAGCCTGGTGACAGACGGATGGACACACCCATTGCGTACGAAAGTCCAAAAAATATCATATTGCATTTTAAATTGCTATAAATTTTAAATATAAACGTATCACAAGGTATTCAATAAATTTCATTATTATAAAAAACAAATAAATAAATATTAGACAGCAAAAATATACATTACTTAGATTCTAGCATGAATAGCTAAAGCCCTCGGTATTATGAGGTGTCAAAGACAACGAAAGTACCACAACACCTAGAACCGAGACAATATACAAAAGTTCATTTTCTACATTGACCCGACAGGTAATCGAACCCAGGACCACAGACATGGCGAATACTTGAAGTCAGCGTGCAAAACACTCGGCTAAAAAACCCAAAAAGTGGTTGAGCGCACAAGAAAATGTTTAGATAATTTTTTTTCGCAAATTTACTATATATTTTTTAATACATGACAAACATCACAAAAATGCGATTATCCTTTGAATTTAATGAATTTACGATGCAGTTACGAGATTTAATAAGACATTTGAGACAATATTGTAAGATTAAAATGAACAAACATAAGTTTCTGACTTATCTCTCATTCCAAGCTTCTGAGGTTTTTGTGCTATTTTCACTAAATATCATTGAGAAGTATATTGCATATAGCTGTTTTCCCGCGACTTCACCCGTGTAAATTATAGCCTATGTCTCCCTCGTATCATGTAGCTTCTCATAGGTTAAAGAATTTAGTTTAGAAATAATATGTAAAAAAATAGATAGATTAATTTTTGTCATACTATCTTGCCAGTTTAAGTGCCTTATTCTCTTCACAATAAGTAATTATTTGCAAATTATTATAACAAAAGAAAGTCAAGATATCTATAAAAATACGTTTAGGAATAATATTTATAAAAAATAGGTGATGTTGGTCATATTACCTATTTGGCCAGTTTATGTTCATTTACAATCAGAGTGACAAACTGTCAAAAGCTTATCCATATTTTAATATCTACGAACCCAATTTCGCAACTTTTTTACCTAACAGTAAACTTTGATTTCGTTTTGGGTAGCATCCGCAATTTTTGACTCTCCCATCATTGAAGCGAGTTTTCCATTCCCGGTTATTTCAGAATTCCTGGTATTTGTTTTTGTAATTGTAGTTATTATTTTAGTTAGAGTAACATCTTTTATTTCTTTGCTATATATATAATTCACTTTTAGTACATACATACGTAGGTATCACATATAATCAACATCGCATAGGTAAATTGAATTTCCATCTTATCACGGACTAGCCTTTCGCCAGCGGTTTCGCTCGCGTGTCTTAAAAACCTTCCTTTTGAATAACCATATATACCCAAAAAAACCGCATCAAAATTTATTGCCTTGTTTAAAAGATCTTAGTATACATAGAGACAGAGAGACGGAAAGCGACTTTGTTTTATACTAAGAAGTGAAGATAATAAGAAGCAAGTTATTGAGCTATATTAATTGTAATTAATGTTTTTTTTTACATATTAACAATTCACTTAATACAATACTATTCGGACGAAACACGGTGTATTTTGCTAATACGTTTTTATTTATTGTTATGTAAGTGTTGAATGAGGATGATGATTAGAAGAAAGGTGAAGGTAGTGACGGAAAAAGTTGGAGGGAATTGACTATTTTGATACACTTTGGTAGCCATTAGGCTGTCGAATAAAAAAAGAATTTTGGAAAGCGGTCAACATCTATCGCCGTCGAACATATAATCTTTTAGATTTTGAAAACGGTTAAAAATATACAAAATATTTTGCGAAACTCAGTATCACATTAATGACATAGAATGATTAATGAAATATAGAATAACTCATCATTTTTAACACCACATATACATCAATTTTATCCACGAATCTTAATATTATAGTATGACGATTTACAATCTCATCGCGAAAAGAGATCTCCCCTAGACATACCTCTGACTGGATTAAACGACAATTACGAGACGAAAATTATGTACTTATATAAGAAGAATACCAATTACTAACCTGATAAAAGGACCTACTGAGTAAACATTTGTCCAGTGTAGTTCCGATAGTTGCTCTCCATGTTTCCCAACCTTAACAAGGTAACTACGACCACTCTAACAAGAGCGCCTAACTAATAAAAAGCAAGATTCAAGCATATGTGCTCATTAAAGCGCTCGTGGCCATTGCGATAAAGTAAATGACATTGAATAAATCCGTAAACAGCGGAAGTACTCGTAAGTCTGGTAGGCAAGAGATTCTTCACCCACTTAATGTAATATAACTTTTACGTTTGATTCATTGCTGCAATTACGGTATCATATAAAATTCTTTTATTAACTTTTATTAATGAAAAGTAACATTTGAAACCTCATAAATAACCCACTATTCAAATTTTAATGCTTATTATCTAAGCCATTTCTTTTTTAAATTGAAGCAAAAAAAAAAAATACGTAGTTCTTTTATATTTTTCGGTTATCTAACGGACTAAATAGAATATCTTTTTTTACCCAGTCCTCATCCGTATTGAGTCGATACTTGAATAATAACACCCTCTAAACTATGTTTGTATACACAATTTACAAAAATTAACATCAATAATGCAATTCAGACCCATCTAATTTTTAATGAGGCGTTTTATATAAGTAATTACCAGCCCGCTTTGAAGACTGCTTCATCATCAGCCTCTTAATGTACCCACTAAATGGGCACATGGATGGAATCGAATTGAATAGAGAGAATAGGCCACGACTTTCCACGCTAGCCCAGTACGAGTTGGTGGGTGCTAGCAACTGCAGCTGGGATGCAGCCAGGACCAACGGCTCGGAGGAGCGCAAGATGATAATTTATTGGTCACCAATCCTATAATCGACCCCTTCGAAAATTTCTTAACTTCGCAGACTAAAGACGCTAATCACTGCGTCAATGAGCTCCTCTGCTTACATCTCTCCTTTTGTAATCTGCTTAAAATTTTGGAAATTACAGACGAGAATAAAACAGTCCCCATTGTATTGTATCTTTGATTTTCCCCATTGTATTGTATCATTCTTTCATTTCATTATGGATTCATCATTAATTTCTTGAAAATATATACAGTAGAACCAACAAGGTTACGGGACCAGATTAGTACGTCGTATCTTCGAGAAATAGAAGACCCTGATAGCAAGCGACCCTTGACAATGCATGATGCAATTCTAAACATTGCAGCAGCTTAGGAAGTAATTAAGCCTGAAACCCTTCAAAATTGTTTCAAGAAAGCAGGTTTCAGAAATAACGAGGTTGACGTCGTGTTGGATGAAGAACCCGTAATACTGTAGGGTTTTCCTGGATATTCTTTCATTGATGATAATGTATCACCATACGAAATTCAATCAATTGTAGATCTTATTGAGAGCGTGAATAACACACAAGAAGAGACTCAAAGTGATAATGATCAAGAAGATGAGACAACTCCGATTTTGATACCCGCCCAGGCATTATCTTCTAGCATTATCTTATAGTAACTTCATTGTATCAAAGCGAAGACGCACTACAAAAGTTAAATTACGTTGAAAATATTGTAATTGCTTATGCCTCAAAATTTTTCTGTCAAACTAAAATAAGCGATTATTTTAAATAACGTGATAGTAATACACAGCATTTTATACAAATCTTTAAATGTACAACTCAATACCTACATCCAAAAAAAATACATAATAAATATTAATACATACGTATGTAGTAGGTTCGTTTTTTATTTGCCTAAATCCCGCATAATACGCTTTCCCGCTTAAGACGCGTTTTTGGTTGAGTCCCTGTGAAATCATCTTAAACGGGTTTTACTGTAATTATAAAGTTAAAATACTATCTATAGTTTGTACCTACGTCTTCTAGTATCGCCTTGTGATGTGTAGAGTGGATCGTAATGGAAATCCGTGATGTGCCAGAAGTATCCTGAAACCAAACAAAAACATACAATTAATACTACTCAGTATGTGTATTATCTATAATGTAACTACAGTTACCGCAGTATCAAACACATTTGAAACGGTTATTTAATTTAATAAATACGTAATTATTAAAGATCAGATGAAAATGGATTAGAAACAAAGGGTTCACTTCGATAGTTTATTACACGTTTCACAATTCATTCACTTAACGAATGCCGACGTTAGACTGTGCTCCAGCCTTACACAATTTTAATGGCAGTATTGTACGAAAACAGCTATGAGTATGACTGTAGTTTTAATTTGGGATTAGATACGATAGAAGACTCGTAATATTTATCTTTTTTTATAATCTAACTTTTAATAATTCCTATAAACTAACATAATAAACTTCTACTCGCTACTTGGTTTATATCCATTTCAGAATTTCTATCTCTAGAAAAACATTTGATCGAAAAATAAGTGTCATGTAATTTATCTATTTGCCAAATTTTATCAATATCCGTCTATTAGTTTTCACGTAGAAAGGAAAACATTCAAATTCACAAACATTCATATTCAAATTATTTTATTATTTAATAATTATAAATACTGTTTATGAATTCATTATTAATTCTCTTAATACAATTTGATCTGATTACAACAATTTTCTTTTTGTTCACAATTCATTAAATACATTATGAAAGTGTAATTAACGATAAACAATTGTTGCATAACAAAGAAAAAACATAATAAAATTACCATAGCAAATGAAAATTGTATTCAAAATTTTCCCCTGTGACGAATGTGCACGTTAAATAAATAAATTAGAATAAACTTTAAAGATTGCGTGTTAAATGCTAGCTGAGCCGGCTATAATTTACATTTTCCAACGTTTACAGAACTAAAGACAGTAAAGGTAGTTTTACATTTCGTGTTTACAATCGACAATGCCTTTTTGTTACCAGAGATACGTACATTTAAACGATAAAATAACATTTCCTTTCATTATAAAGGAATGAAAGCGCAGCTTATCGACTCTTGTAATTAATTGTTTGTCTGTCGATCGGTTTGTTGAACGAGTTTAGATGTTTCGGATCCAATAACAAATGCAAAATTTAAAAAAAGCTTCAACCGTGTCTTTAGAGTTAAATTAGTACTAAGAGGGGCGAATCTCGGAACGAGAGATAGTAAGTTGGAAACTCGTATAACTACCATGCATGCCGTAGCATTTTTATTCGTTGTTTCAAAAGTCTTATAAAATCTGGTGTCTACGTTGTGAGTTATTCAAGTTTTTCATGCTTTCGCGATTATTTCGATTTATTACTCCACCGATATTATACTCTGTTTAGAAGTTATAGTAAACCAGCTGTTTTTTATTACGTCCTATGTCACCCGCGTATGAAGTACGAGCTTCCCGTAGGTGATAGAATTTTCATGATTAGATCAATATTTCCTAAGATTATCTCCTACACAACAACTTTATTATATAAGCATAGATTAAAGTGACATTTTTTTTTCTTTAAAAAAATTCAAGTGCGTGTAATCTTCAAGTTTATGAATTAGAGTTCTGAGAGCGTGTGCGTAAAAGTGAACTTCGTTGAATAGTGTTTTGTAAAAAATCTTTACAAAGTCTAAATTAATAAAGATAATAACTCATTTTGAACTATATTTTGATAATTGAATAACTTTGTATCAGATAACATTCACCGATATTTACTATAAAACTTTCATGTTAGATAAATGGACATCAATTGTGCGCTCTTATCTTAAAAGAGGTTGACAGCAAATAATGCTAGCACTGTATTTGTGACAAATATAATTCTCTATTATTTTAAAAAGATAATAACATGGAATGATAGAAACCGAGACAATTGCGTGAAAGGATATTTTACGACATGAGATTTGATGAGATTTTTGAAACAATTTTTAGAACACCAAAACTGTATGCTAGTTTCCAACTTGTCATCTCTCATTCCAAGTTTTTTAACTTGACCATAAAATATTTAGACGTATCAAATATAAAAAACATAACAAAGGTAAAATTATTTGCTTCTCAAGCCAGCACTTTAAAACCCGTTTTATCTAAAGTTAACATTGTTTGGCGTGGACATGAGTTAGACTTATGCGGTGGCGTTACTCAACTTGTGTCCATGGATCATAGTTAGTGAAAATACGTTTTCGTTGCAAAGTTATTAGTCATAGTGGACAAATTTCCGTAATTACAAACTATGCGAGTTTGGGTGTGGATAAATTTATAGTTGCAAGCTTTGTGGTACAGGAATAATGTGATTTGCGGTGGGAATATGGGGATTGCATTTTTTTTTTATTTGGAATAAGATTTTAGATTCGTGTGTTTTAAATTGAAAATTATCCTCATAAATACATAAAATAAAATGCTGAAATAGCCGCTTACTAACCTGTGGTTAACTGAGAATCGAATTCATAAATTTTTATAACACACACGTTTTTTATTTACATTTATAATCTTTGCTTTCAACTACTATAATAAAAAAAGAACTTTAATTGTAATCAATTATCATGGGCAATCGTTTAATGAAATTATAGCACTAGGTTTTATTTTTTTGTCTTCTTAGTCAAAAGTTTATTTTCTAATCAAGTAATTTGTTTCTATGTAAATGTAAACTATTTAAATGAGTCCTTCCATCAAATATTATGTTAGTAAAATGAGGGCACGTTAGGTCTTTAGTTATATGAATAAGTGTATTTTAAGTAACATAATTGTGTATGACTGTTGTTAAGATTGATCATAATTTCATTTGCTTATATTTAGATAATTATGACTATATAGATACTGATCGTTGTTTAGTAACGTATCTAGTGTAAATGATTAAAATTAGTGACCTAATGCGTCTCTTAATTCAATAGACTGCAGACTATAACTTCTATTAACTTTCAATATTTAAATTATACTCTCCATTATTAAGTCTTATTCGATATAGTGTTGTTACTATTTTTAATAAACCTCTTAAGTTTCTGCTCATAGACAAACTTTATATTCTACAGTGTATGTGCGCCTTTGAGAAGTATAGAGCACAGACTGCGTAGTCTATTATAAAACATGGACTACGTAGTCTGTGATAAGCATAGACAAATTAGTCTATGATGATAAAATGTCTACGATTAAGAGAAAAGATGGCGATATTGGCATTCTTGTGACGACTGTTATCCGAGCTAGACGCTCAATAAAATATTGACTACTGTGTTGGCATTATCATTTCTGGACAACCTTACAGTTCAGAAGTGTTCGTTTTTATCCTCACGTGCCAAAATGAGTAACCGAAGACTACGACATCCTGTCATTTCAAGTGACGAAGAGCAGGCGCCGCCGCCACCCACAAAAAAATCAAGAAAATCTAAGCGCCCAAATAATAGTGAACGCATAGGGCGACTGGAGCAATTGCTGGAACAACTCATTAGGCAAGGATCAACGGTGAATCAAAATACAACGCCTGGAAGTCCCATCGAAGATTCCACAACGCCAGGTACCCTTAATCATAATACTACCGTCATTTCTTGTACAGATCCTTTAGCATCCGTAGAACTTGATATAAATGCTACTCAAGTCTCTCCGATTCTTAACGAAATCAATATGCCTCTACCCTCCATATTGCCAACAAGTGATATAACCACTCGAAGCTTAAATTCCTGTGTAAGCCACGATTCTGGCGATAAAGAGCATGATTTAAATCAGTCTACATCACAAAAGTTAGTCAATAATGCAAATACTTTACGGTTCATCGGAAAACCTGATAACGTGCCTAAATTTAGCGGCAATACTAATACTCTGTCTATTCACACATGGTTACACCGACTGGAGTCATTGGCGAAAATTTACGGGTGGGACGAGAAAACTTTGGTGTACCACATGACTGGCAACCTGGAAGGCAACGCGCTGCTGTGGTTCAATCATCAACAAAATATCGACATCTCTTGGGACGAATGGAAGAACCGTCTTGCTGCTTATTTTCCTGCTGGCCGAGGACTCGCCGCCAAATTACATGACTTCGTTACAACCAACAAACATCGGGATGAGAAGGTAATAGATTTTTATTATAAAAAATTAGCGCTGGGTAAATCATGTGAGCTTACCGATACTGTGATTTGTGATGTTATAATTTACACTTTAAGTGATCCATTGCTCAAAGCTGGGGCTCGTGGTGCAGGTTGTAGGGATACACGTGCATTGTTAAATTATCTTACCGATGCGGCAGTAGATGACTTACCGTCAAAAGGTAGTGAATCTTTTGAAAATCGAATTAAGTGTTTCACTTGCGGTAAGCGAGGTCACATTACAACTCAATGTAGTAATAAATTACGTTGCGAAATCTGTAATAAAATTGGTCATAAAACAGAGAACTGTAGATTTTCAAAAAAATGTTCATTTTGCAATAAATTAGGTCATGATCGTGATGAATGTTATAGTCTTAAAAATTCCCAGAAAACTAAAAATAATACAGATTTAAAATCCGAACAAATGTATGGAAAAAAATCAAAAATATTTAATATCCATCCGGTAGATGTTGGTGATCGTAAATATCATAAAACAGTTGTAGCTAACGGTATTAATTTATCAGCTTACATTGATTTAGGAAGTGCTTGCAACACTATTACCTTATCGGCAGCTAGAAAAATTAAACTCTCTTATAATAATAAGTGTAGTACTAGCATTAGAGGGTATGGTGGTCAGATTATAACACCGGACGGTGAAGCATCAATTCAGCTTTGCATTGATGGAGTTTCTGTCTCTACTCCAGTACTCGTAGTTAGTGATAGCCTTCAAGATACAGATATGATTGTGGGGCGTGCCTTTAGTGAACTGCCTGGTATTTGTCTCTCTAAGACATCTGATACCTTAACATTTTCGAGAAATTTAGCTAATAATACTAATGAAGATGAGCTGCCATTTGCAAACAATATAGAAATTCCTTTATCTAAAATAGAACTCAGGGTGCCACATGATACTTTATTAATACACGGTTTAAATAAAATAGTAATTTACACAGA